GCCACGTCACGTGACGTGTTGTGACGTATCGCAACTTTTTTTTCCATTGCCAGACCTGGGGTAGGCGTAGCCTCTGCATGATGCAACCGGACTGCAGGCTGGCAGTTTGACACCCCTGCTCTATACCTTACTACCTAAACCAGCTTTACTTGTATTTCATAATGCAGTTAAGATTGGACTCTTGGTGTGAACTATGGAACTGGGCTATATTAGTAATTCTTTTCGATCTTGTTCCTTTATGGTTTTATTTTTTAGTTTGGTTTTGTATACAGTACCATCTTGAGCTGTTTTGAATTAGGTCTATTTATTATATTAATTGTTGTTGTTAATTGCGAAGTCATGTCCGACCCATCGCGACCCCATGGACAACGTTCCTCCAGGTCTTCCTGTCCTCTACCATCTTCTGGAGTCCATTTAAGTTCACACCTACTGCTTCAGTGACTCCATCCAGCCACCTCATTCTCTGTCGTCCCCTTCTTCTATTGCCCTCGATCTTTCCCAGCATTAGGCCCTTCTCCAGTGAGTCCTTCCTTCTCATTAGGTGGCCAAAGTATTTGAGTTTCAACTTCAGGATCTGGCCTTCTAAAGAGCAGTCAGGGTTGATCTCTTCTGGGACTGACTGGTTTGAACGCCTTGCAGTCCAAGGGACCCGCAGGAGTCTTCTCCAGCACCATAGTTCAAAGGCCTCAATTCTTTGTCGCTCAGCCTTTCTTATGGTCCAACTTTCACATCCATACATTGCAACTGGGAAAACCATGGCCTTGACTATACGTACTTTTGTTGGCAGGGTGATGTCTCTGCTTTTTAGTATGCTGTCTAGATTTGCCATAGCTTTCCTCCCCAGGAGCAAGCATCTTTTAATTTCTTGGCTGCAGTCCCCATCTGAGGTGATCTTGGAGCCCAGGAAAATAAAATCTGTCACTACCTCCATTTCTTTCCCATCTATTTGCCAGGAATTGAGAGGGCCGGATGCCATGATTTTGGTTTTCTTAATATTGAGTTTCAAGCCAATTTTTGCACTCTCCTTCTTCACCCGCATCAAGAGGCTCTTTAGTTCCTCTTCACTTTCTGCCATTAGAGTGGTATGCATATCTTATTATATTAATATGAATATATAAATGGTGGTTGAGAGAAGAAAGAAAAAAGTTGTGCAGTATTCATACAGGAATAATGTGCGAAACAAGCACTTGAAATATCTCTGGGCTCTGTGGAGGACTTCATGCTCATGTTGATCTTCATGCTTTTCATGGTGAAAAGTCAGCAGAGTTTCAAAATGGAGTTTATATGCATGTCCTCAATCCACTGTGTGCAAAATATGCAATTTCTAGAAATATTTCCCCCCTTATTTATGTAGGCAGTTGCATAGCATATTTTAGAAGCTCAATGCACCTTTTCATCACACAGAGAAAAACACACACATCACTGGGAACACATGAAGGTCAAACATTCCTGTCTTGTTAATCATTAATCCAAGTAAGTGTGGATCAAGTTGCCTTTGACAAAGGTTTCCGTAAAGCTTATTAGAAATTACCCAGGAATAATGCAGAGGGCTGTAATGCATGTATCCCATGCATCTTACCAGACGGGACAGTGAAAAGTGAACATTGCCTTTTAGTATTCAATGTTTTAAAGGATAGCAGGAAAAACAACCTGCACACAATGCAGTATTATTATTATTTAGCACTTACACAGCATTTCAAAGCTGCAGGCAGAATTGAGTGGTTTGTATTGTAGCCAGTGTTACAACAGTCAACCAGCCATCAGTGTACTGCTATTATTTCCACTCTCTCCTCCCAGGGGAATGAAACTAATTTTCCCTTAAGGCCATTTGTGGGTAAGTCGGGATTAACTAGCTAACACTCCAATCCTCTTATATTTCTCACAGAGGTTCTTAGAAGGTAGGGAGAGTTATGAGGCCCTGACCTCTGTCTATCTAACTACCTACCTATCCACCAGACATCAATTACCTTCAAGCTGATTCTTTATCAACTGCCTAGACCACGGGTGACAAACTCGATCGGGTCACATGATGTATTGTGACATATCACGATGTTTTTTGCCTTTGTGGAGCTGAGGTGGGCATGGGCTGCACATGACGCATCCAGCCAGTTGGCCGCCAGTTTGATAGCCCTGGCCTAGATAGTCCCTGAAGTCTTCTTGGCAAGATTTTAAAAGTGTTTTGTCGTTGCCTTCTTTCTTGGGCTAAGAAAAAATGATTGGGCTAAGGTCACCCAACTGGCTTTGTGTCCTGGTTTGTAGTCTAGTGCTTTAAGGACCACACCAAGCTATCTATGTTAATATATACCCACATTTTTTAATTGTCCAGCAGATGGAATAGCATTAATATGAGTTGAAGCTGGGAATGAGCAGCCTACACATTTTTTGGGCAAAGAAACTACTGTAAATAGATGATTTCTTTGAATTTCTCCAGGGAGAAGATGCCTCTTTAATGAGGATAGTAATCCCGCCACTGAAAAATCCAATGGGAAGAACTACATCTTAGTATCTTCCAAGCCAGGGAGGCAAGTAAGCCACGTTCTGCTGGAGAAGTGACTGTACAACGAATGGCAGGACATCGACATAAGCTCTTGACCATCTCATAACTAACTAAATCCAAGAACACTGTTTATTTTTCTGAAATTCTATTTCTCCAGCTAGAATGAGCATTGATAGGAAAAAATGCAGAATTTCTCTATGCATATTCGGCAGATTTAACCTAAACGACATCAATTATTGAACCACCTTCCAAACAGATGAACAGGATACCTTGTTCATGAAGACCATTTGACAATACTTCTTCCAGAACTGATCTACCACTCACAAAACACTTCTCCAATTAATTGCGTGGCAGCAACCCCGGTGTCTTCTAAGAAGGAGATAAGAATATTTCGAACTGTGTAGACATTTTAGGAGCTGGTCTTTCTTGCTGACCCAAGGAATATGAATCACAGAGTGGGTTTGACCGAACAATAATCATAGGTTTAGCACCGTGTTTCTCAATTTCTGCAACTTTAAGATGTGTGGATTTCAAACTGGCTGGGGGAATTCTAGGAGTTGAAGCCCACACATCAGAATTCATGAGGTATAGCATCTGGCTTCATATTATAGCATATAAAATGGCCCCATTTTATTTGTATAAATAAATTATTGTTCATATTTATATTTATAAATAAATAATAGTGTGTGTGTGTGTGTGTGTGTGTGTGTGTGTAAAATGGGGCCATTTTGTATATTATAATATTCTACCTAATATATTAAGCAAGAAATTAAGTGGCAAGGTCCAAACTGAAGAAGGAACACTACTTCGACAAATGTTAATCTCTTTTCACTTTATATCCCTGTTTAAAAAACAGAACAGAAAAATGTCCTTAGACATCATTCAAAGTAAGATTGTATTCAATAATTTCAGTAGTATCGGTATGACAGGCATATGTTTATCATATGACACTAAACTCCCTTATTTCAACATAGAGAGTGGTATTGATTGAGAATTGCCAGGTTAAATATGTTTCTTAGCATCTTTTAAAAAAATTGTTTGCAACTGTATAACTGCAAGGAATGGGACTGATTTAAGTCAATAGTTGCAAGCCTAATGCATCTGTTACAGAACAAAAAGCTATCTCTTTTTTTCCTTCCAGTCTATCAAGTGCAAATGATTACNCATAATGAATGGAATGCAGCCGGTTAAGGGCAAAAGTGTGACGAAAAATTCTTTCCCACCGTTCTCACTGGTGAAACACTATATGCTTTTGGCACCCGCTCATAGGATTGAACAAGCACTTCATCCAAATGTATTCCTACCGTGAAATAAACTACACAAAAGCAACAGCCATCAATGAAAAGGGTGAGAGTGAAGGAAAGTATCTTACTTTAAATATTTAGAGACAACCATGTATATTTTTTGCATGAGGGGAAAGGGGGGAGAAAGTCATCCCTGAAAGATTTCCTTTTCAATGAACTTGCTCTGACATATGAGTTGAAAAGCTCCAAAACCTGACCAGAAAAAGAAAATCATTCTTCCCAATCCTCAAAATACAGATTTCCCCAAATGAGTGCCTCCCCGAAAAACCCTCTGGGCCCTCTCACTTTTGCAGAACTTAGAACATGGAATGCATCCTCCCACATGCCTTCAACAAGAAAGACCCTTTATAATAGATGAGCAAGGTATATAACAAGATATGACCAAATCACATTTCCAATCATCTCTCATCGTTAGGCCAGCTGAAAAATGCTGGAGAGGTAATATTTGGAGACCCATGTGTTAGCCACCCCTGCTATGCACCCCAAAGAATAGAGCTCCCCAACCTTTCCGGGTTGGCAGCCCGGAGGGAAAGGGAGGAGCAGGAAAATGTGTGCATGCACGAGCATTCGCAAATGGGCACACGCATGACAGCAGCGCTAGCGCTCCCACACATGCGCAAGTGGGCCGCGAGCATCCAGGGCAGTGCTAGTGCCCACGCGCATACAGGGCGCTAACACCCACACGCATGCACAACTGGGCTATTAGCGCCTGTGTGACACTGGTGGTGGCGCTAGCGCCACCACACGTGTGCAAATGGGGCCGCTAGCACGAGTGGGCGGGGTGTCATGCACACATGCATGCACTCGCCAGCCATTCCTGCAGTCTGGTGGCCAACAGGTACCGGCCCACGGCCCACAGGTTGGAGACCCCTGCCATAGAAAACTCAGGATTTTCCATGGTCATCTTCTTTGATTTGAATGGGAAGCATTCAGGAGGCACTATAAATGAATTAAAATCAGTATGACTGGATAATGCATGTATAACAACTTCTCTGTCCAGTTAATCCACTTGCAACCACAATACCGGTCTATGTGTAAAAGGGAGATACTGACTGCCTTGAGAAAAGCTTTGGCAAAGTTGCCCAACCTTTCTCAATGCAATCACTATCTCTCTTTTGATAAATATTATTCAAGGTGAGAAAAATGACAAAGGATAACAAGGTCTACAACACTTCTCAACATTGATTTGATCAACTGACCAGTGCACAGAGGAGATCCACAGCCTCTAAAACAAGCTCTTGGTGTCCAATCCGGGTGACCCCGAGTTCTTCAAGATCCTGGTGGGAAATCTGCAATAGCTGAGCACCATTTATCTTCTCTCGTTCAAACTTTGGGACATACTGCTGAAGACAATCATCCAGACCTACATTAAAAAAAAAAAACAGAGCCAATGTAATCATATTTCTTTATTTATTTTTACTTTAAAACCATGCACATAAATATCCCCACAACTTTTAATCCTGGTTAATATTGCCTAAATAAAACATTCCATGCACTAATTATGCCTAATTAAAAAACTTTAAAAATAAAAGCAGAAGAGGCGCAAAAAAAATCATAAAAGCAGAGAAGCATTAAGAATACAAATGTGTGCGTTTGTTTTTTTTTTTAAAAAAAATGCTTACTTGGGATAACCTTGTTGGATAATTCTCAATGCCTCTAAGTCAGGGGTCTTCAAACTTGGCCCTTTTATGACTTGTGGACTTCAACTCCCAGAATTCCTCAGACAGCGTGCCTGGCTGAGGAATTCTGGTAGCTGAAGTCTACAAGTCATAAAAGGGCCAAGTTTGAAGACCCCTGCTCTGAGTGACCCATATTCATACAGCCCTGCACCTTTCCTTTGTCTCCATTTTATATCACTTCTACATCTCCCTCCATTAATTTCATATACAGGTTGTCCTTACAACCACTCAGAACCACTCATTTAGTGACCGTTCAAAATTACAATGGCACTGAAAAGAGATTTTTGTTTTTCACACAACCACTGCAGCATCCTCATGGTCACATGATCAAAATTTGAATGCTTGGCAAGTGGCATGTATTTATTATGATGGCTGCAGTGTCCTGAAGTCATGTGATCCCCTTTTGCAACCTTCTAACAAGCAAAGCCAATGGGGAAGCTAGGTTCACTTAACAACTATGTTACTAACTTAACACCTGCCATGATTCTTTTAAAACACATGGGAACAAAGGTCATAAAATGGGGCAAAGCTCTCTTAACAGCTCTCTTGCTTAGCAATGGAAACTTGGGGCTCAACTGTGGTCATAAGTGGAGGACTACCTGAATTACAATCCAATTGCCCAGATCATGCCATGATGACTCCTCTGTCTGCTATTAGCTTTAATGATGCGATAGGTTGGGAAGTTATGATAGGGACAGAGCAACACTTAATTTCCAATTTCCAAAGTTGGCAAGCAACAACCTTCATCACCACTTACAGACTGAATTTTTAATACTCACCAACAATACCAAGATAAGAAAAGGACATCCAGATTTGCTTGTCATCCAAGTGGCCATGTGTGACCACAACATTCTCACTCATAATGAAACTAGAGGGAAGTGAACTTTATGCCGTGATGGGATTTAAGAAAGAGCTGATTCCTGGGATTCCCTTCCCCAAATTAAGCATGTTAGTAAAGCAGGAAGGTTTCAGTTAGGGACCTAAACTGGATTGCTTCTGAATAGTTTTGTGGCTCCCTCACTTCAGGTGCCTGTGAAACATTGTGGATTGCACAGGATATTTTTACATGTTCCATAGAACTGCAAAAAATAGATCCTACAAATGCACAACTTTTTGGTGCCTGGAGATTGTATTTCTTGGATGAGAAGAGAAACTCTTCAAAGAAAAACAAGAAAGGCCTGTTGCCTCCTGAAAAAGCACCTTGGGACACAAATCTTATCTAAAATTCTCTATATTGAACACAAGTTGAACACAGTTTTGGCAGCCATTGCCACCCAATTTATTACAGTACTTCTGGTCTGGAGAGCACAAGGTCAAACTGTGTGAACCCTGAATAGTTACATAAAACTTTGGGTTTAAGTTATCAGCCTTTAAAAGTGCAGGAGTTTGTGCCTTATTTCATTTAGCACTCTACAGATAACAAAGAAATGGGATAAAATGAAACTCTGGCATGCCAAAGAAAACAATGCAACTGTTATTAATCCATTAGTTCAGTGTGCTAAAAGCTTCTTTGTCTAAATAAATTCTTTTCCAGGGCAACAATCAGAAAATCAAACTAGGGCACCTAACAAAGAATCTCTCAACAACTTAGTTCAGCAAAAACCAAGTATCGAACTTTAATTCTTAAGCAAGTTATACAATATATGTGGGCGGCACAAAAATCCAGACCACCATTTTTCAGTACAGTATAAGCACTGAATATAAACTCAGGCACATCATCCTCAAACAGGTGAGTATGGAAGAAATCACATCTCATCCAAGTACTAAATGAAGGAGAAGTACCATCCTAGCTGTTTTTATTAAAATGCAATGGATTGTAAAACATTACAAAAGAACTGCTAAAACCACCTTTCTCTCTCAGCTCTTGATCAAAGATACAGTACAACAAAATGCAAATGTTTTGGATATGTAAATAATCACTTCTTGGATGTTCTAAGGAAAACTACATTCCTCACTTCTACACCCGCCCCCCAAAAACACTTTCTCAGCCCTACACAAGATTCCACCTTTGCACTGTAGCTGAATTAACAACATTAGAGAACACAATTGCTTCCAGGCTTATGCCCAAAAAAAAAAAAAAGTCACTAAGCTAGATTAAAATCATCATGTTCATATAAACAAATACGAAAAAAAGAGAAGGGGTGACGTTTGATCACTCATTTTTAAAGTAAACATTGTTATGGGAATAATTTACATTAACACTAATTCAGATGTGTGTTTTGAGGAGGATGTTAATACAGAACTGTTTTGCTTCCAATATCAGGGTATTCTTTTGAGGAAACTGAATGGATCTCTGCAAAGAGATCTAAATCGAGATGTTCAGAAGCCATATGCACATCAAAATCATGCCTACTATAATCAGGGCTTTTTTTTAATCATAGAACGCCCAGAACGAAGTTTCGGCACCTTTTTTGGATGGAACCTTGTAGGGTAGGCAAGGTGGGTTGTATGACATGTGTGAGTTCCGGCACCTATTAAAAAAAAAAAAAAAAAAAAGCACTGACTATAATACTGCTGCAATCACATAAACTGGAAATCCCTTAGTAGAGTCTGATGCTTGATAATTTCACGGATACCTCCTTGCAATTTTCTTTACAACGATGAGGAATGTGTTTGTTAAAGCTTACTTCTAGTAAAGACTGTTCCTAGATTACTTTCATTCCTAGATTAGTTGCATCCCTTGGAAGTCCTTACCATAAAAGAGAAGAAATGTCCATATACTGTAGAGTTCTTGGCAACAAGATGACAACAGTTTTTAACTGTTGCCTTTTGGGATGTTCTTCAACATCCCAGGATAAGTTAGACACTTGGCATTTTGGGGAGGTGTCCCATCTATGCTTTACCCAGGGGTCTTCAAACCTGGCCCTTTTATGATTTGTGGACCAACTCCCAGAATTCCTCAGCCATCATGCCTGACTGAGGAATTCTGGGAGTTGAAGTCCACAAGTCATAAAAGGGTCAACTTTGAAGATCCCTGCTTTACCTTGTTTTGACCCCGTTTAGTTTTTCAAAATCAGTCAAAGCTAGCTATATGATAATTTATTAAATTTACTATGCCACTGATCTCAATGACTATGGGTGCCTTACAATAGCAACAAAAAATACAATAAATAAAACATAAAAGCTAGAAGACAGAAGATAAAAGATGGCAAATGAGATAGATATATGAAATGAAGGGAGGGGGTCTCGCTCTCCTTCATCAAAGGCCTGGATAAAATAAGTTGAGTAGGGGCCATCTGGATCCCTCATTCCAG